CTGGAAGAGAGGTTAATCTATAGTTGTTGTTTAATGTTTACAGTTTCAGTTTTGAAAGGTATAAAACGTTCTGAAAATGGATGGTGGTGATGGTTACATAATATAAGTGACTTAATTTCACTGAACTGGACACTTAAAAATACAGTGGTAAATTTTATGTTATGTATGTTGTACCACAACTTTTAAAAATTATGTTTTAAATAAACTTGTGCACTTTAAACTATGTTTAAGTTAATTGATAAAACAGCCCACCTCACCATGTTGACTATATTGGCCTCTGGAAGAATTACTACAAAAGGTGTCAAGAGAAGTCCCTATAAATCACATTTTTTAAGGTTTTTGTAAAAATTTAAAAATTTAATTTTTATTAGCATATTATTGTTGTAGTGGGGGTATATTATATTTACAAAAGTGCTTACAATATATCTTAGTTAGATTCACGGCCCCATCATTCTTCTTTATATCCTCTCCCCTCCCCTTAGAATAGTTTCAACAGGTCTCACTATTCCATTTTAATACATGAATACATAATACTTCTACCACATTCATCCTCCCTCTCCCATTCTTTATGTTCTTCCCCTCCCACTGGTACCAACCCTCAGACAGGAGCTGTTTTACCATCCTGTCTTTCATTTTTGAAAACTGACATTTTTGTTTAAGATAGCTATACTGAGAGCTTCATTATGACATTTCCATGTTTTATAGCTCAAATTGGTTCATCCCCTCCATTTTTCTCCTTTCTACCTTATTCCCCTTCTTATAGTGATTTTGACAGGTTTAAATATTCTATATACACTTTTGTATAGGAAGTATACCAACTATATTCACCTTCTTTACTTTTAGTTTTTAAAACTGTGATGGTGAATCTGGTTTATTATATCATCTTAGTCACAGATTGAAGCTTCTTTTTCTCCATGTTAAAAAAAATAAGACACATTTTGTAATAGACTGACATATAATAAAATGAACATGATTAAAATACACAATTTTATATGCATGGACCTATGAATATACCAACACAAGCCTATTTTCAGTCCCAGCTATTAACCATCCAACCTCCCAATACCCATTGCTAGTGAATCACCGATTGTCACTCTGTTATTTTGTGTCATCTGCATTTGGTATAAATGGAATCATAAGTTATGTACTTCTTTATTTTGGATGGTATTAATTAGCAACAGTGCATAAAGATTCACTGATGCTGTGTTTATGTACAATTACTTTTTATTGCTTAGTAGTATTTTATTGGATGAGTTACCAAGATGTGTTTAGTTTCTTGTTTACAGACATTGATTTTTTTATAGTTAATTCTGTTATTTGAAAACAATTTGCTATGAACGTTTTGTATATGGGTCTTCATATAAACAACAAGAGATTTTTTTTTGGCTTAATAGATAGGAATACAGAACCTGACACATTCTAGGTATGTTTTACTTTTAAAAAAATGAATAAAATGCTTCCCAAGTGGATAATATCATTTTAAATTCTCATCAAAAGACCCATTAGTTGTCTTTCTTATTAGGGAGGATTATCCTTTGAATTGTATTTTGTTTAATAACAGGGCATGCTAACACTTAGAGACGCCTTAATCTATTTTCTATATTGGACATCTTCCCTCATTTACCTATCATGTATAGCAGCAACCCAATTTCCCCTTGCCAATCAGAATCAATCAGCCCAAGAAGTAGAGAAATTACTTTCTTTGTTTTTTAGGTTCAGAGGAAAGAGGCGCCCAAAGTGTCTATTTTATAGCCTCTTGTTCTCTACACTATAGTGCTTTTGTTGTTTCTTGGTGACATCATTGTTCCATATGGAGGTAATATCTCTAGGCCAGCAGACCTCCCAGAACAGGAAGCAAAAACATTATAAGTGGATCACTAGGAGAAATAGTGCATGGTGCAGCTCCCATTTCTAGGCCTTGATACATGGACTCATAAATCCTGTCTAAGGGAGAAACAGTACCATATTTTAGATGTGGTTAAGGACATACATATCCTCCTTGCCTCAGACTTGCAATGTGTTTCCATCTACCTGAGACTATACTTGTGTTTTCCACTTGACTACGAATTCAGTCATCTTGTCAACATACATCAATACCAAATCCAATCTGATGTTGAACCTGATGCTCAGTGTTTTAATAATATCATCCCAAGTATTTTTAATTTTAATTCATATCCTCAAGCTACTGATATAAGAGATAAATTATGAAGGTCAGTGACTCAGGATGTCATGAAATATTGAGGCAAAGCACACTGAGCGATACTTCAGATGTGCAGTCAAGGAACCCTACACCATTCTGTCTCCACTCCTTTGACAGCAATGATCTCCCACATTTTTCCAATTCTGTCTCAAGAAAGCCACCTTCTCTATTCTGGGCCAAAATATCCCACTTGCACTCTCTCAGAAACTTTCACCTGGGTGCGGTCTTGAAAAATCCCCCAAATCCTCATCCCTTCCATGACCTCCTTGGATAATGAGGATGACCTTGACATTATTTGTCAATGAATAGTGGTACTTCCAACAATCCCACCTTCCACACGCCAGGAAATATTTTTAGCCATGGACATTCGGGATCATGAACTGTTGGTGTTGCATAGTGCTATAATTATCTCATGTGTCCTATAAACTGTCTGAAGCAGCCATTTCCTCTCCTTTTCCATCCTAGGCCAGCTCTCAAATATCCAACTAGAAATGTTTTTAAGTGATGTGACCATGACCCTATTATACTGAACAGGGTCATTCCAACACAATTTAAGACAGTGTGCTAACTGTAAGATCATATACCCAGGTGTACGTTGCCATTCTTTTCAATGGCCCCCAGAACACCTGTTTAGCATGTGGTACTATATAAACATGCACACACATACAGACACTCCCTTCTTGTCCACTAAGCATATGTTCACAACCTTGGTGCCGACAGAGTGCGGAGTGTGTGTGCTAAGTTACATGAGTGCCAAGCAGAGTAACATCACAGCAGACTATTGAGTCCTTCATGTTCCCTGGAAACAGAGATCTCCTTACACCCAACAGGATTTCTTTGTCTCTGTGATGCTTTGAGAAGTCCTCTCCCTGTCACATTCAGTGACTGAACCAGTTCTTCATAACTGAGATTATGACTGAAAATCACCTTGGGAATTTAAGCCAAAATGTTTTGTTTATTTAAAGCACAACTCACAAGTAGGGAAAACAATTCTTCTTTTCAACAGAATATAGTTAGACTCTGTCAATGATATATTTTGAGATTGAATTTTTGTTTCAGCAGTCATATAGCTTACTTTAGATAATAGTAGAATAGGCAGACAGAACCTGGAAATATAGAAGTGTACTTCTATTATTTCCTAATTTTAAGGCTTCTCTTAAAACAGAGGAGAAGCTCACACTGTAAAGTTTATAAAAGAAAATAGATAAAGGAAGTAAGAGACAGAGAGGAAAGAATCAAGGAAGAAAATGATCATTGGATGGTAAGAGGAACAGGCCTGGCTTGTCACTCATTGCTGCAGTTTCCCCAGGTTCCTAGGGTTCAGATGCAGTGAAGAATCTCTATGTAGATAGCTGGCTGAATTTCTTATTTTGGAATATCCAGCCTTGTCTATTTCTCAACCAAAATCACTAAATTTATTCTCTTAAATACAACTTGAAGTCCTCTTGGTATTTCTGCTCTGCTGTCTTACCTGGTGTTCTCAAACTGTTCATCCAAAAATATTACAGTCATGTATATATTATATAGGTATATGCACATAAAAATGTTTAAAAAGAGAGAAAGAGTTAAAATAGTCATGATGACTAAGCATGCACAATCCTGAATTAATTCTGCATTGGAAAAATAAGTTACAACCACAACATAGGATATTATTGAGATAGTTGGTGGAATTGAATAAGGTCTGAACATACGAGATTGCTATTATATCATAAGTTAAAAATAGCACCTTGATAAAGAAAATGTCTCAAAGGAATATACAGTATCTGAAAAAATAATAATGTATATTCATGTAATGACATGACATGAAAGCAAATAAAGAACATTTCAGGTAAAAACGATAAATTTTTACTTAGAATGGGAGACATTCTAAGTTTTTCATGAAATTTCAACCATTTATAAAGGTAGAAATTACTGAATCCATGACTCAGATTCAGTAATTACTAAGGCTTCACCTTACTTCCCTTTTCTACACCAATGAGCCTCACAACCCACCGCTTACTGTACTAGTTTTGAAGCAGTCCCTAGATATCATAGCACTCCTATCAGTTTTGTAAATGTGTCTCTAAGAGTCTCCCTTTTACATAGCAGGTGACACCGTAAAACATTCCAAAATCAACAGCAAGTACTCAGCATCTTCATATGTTGTGTTCACATTACCCTGATTGGCATATCAGTTTTTAAGGGTTCAGTTAAATCATCACACTCAATAATTTGATACACCTGATCTCTGGCCTTTCATTTCTCCTTCTAGTTGCTTTTATTTGGAGCTGTTATCACTTACACAAACCCCATTTGATTTATTTGGCTTATCATCTAATTTTCTCATGCAGATGGAATTATTGTGAGGGCAGGAGTTTTATTTCTAGTATTTAATGCCCTATCATCAGCAGAAGAATAGCATGTAACATCTGATTAGATAACAATATGATCGTTGGGTAAATGAGTAAATTTGGAATTAGGAATCAAATCCTTTAATATTTATATATAGTATATGTTTTCTAGGTCTCTAATCTCTAATTCACACTTTTTTCTGTGTAGGCAGGAGGATATTATGTGGACAAAGCAGAGTTAATAGTCAACTTTCTAACTGCTCCTTTCCACTGACTGGTTAGGGAGGGGACTATGGAAGGAGGAGCGATAGGCAAGAGGAGAGACAGAAGAGAAGATAATTGGGATCCCCTCTCTGACTTCTTCCCAAATTCACAGGCACTGCCTCCGGTACAGAGGTGACCAGAGTCCCTTAGAGGCTCATGGTGTTTAGCACTATGGTCTCAGCTCTATGGCCTCTGTAGAAATGAGCATGGCTGGTCAGAGGGTACTGCTGCTAGTGGGCTTCTTTTTCCCTGGGATCCTGTTCTCAGAGTCTGCCAAAATCTTGACTTTATCTGCATTTGGTGAGTGTTTGCCTGGAGTCTTTAGAGACCAGAGGGACTGGAATTTCAGTACCTCCAGGGCTCAGGCATATAGGGAAAAGGGCCATGTATGTGGTTTTCAAGTTGAATTTAGACCACAGGAACCAGAGAAGAGAATGAAGTCACTGTTGGCTCAGAGGGGACATCACTGCAGGGAGGGTGGAGATAGCTCTGGAGAAAAGGGTAGTTTCCCTTCCTTATTAAAGTGCTCAGGACCAATAGGAGAAGGGGACCAGGAACGAGAGAAAAGGTTAGATCAAGAAGAGTTAACCTAGAAGGTAACACACATGCATAGGAAATTAATGTGAGTCAACTCCCCGTATAGCTATCCTTATCTCAACCAGCAAAATCCCTTGTTCCTTCCTATTATTGCTTATACTCTCTTCGTATCGAGGGGGTGGAGGGGAGAAGGAAGGGGCAAGGTGGGTGGTAAGGGAGGGGGTGGGGGGAGGGGGAAGAAATGACCCAAGCATTGTATGTACATATGAATAATAATAAATAAATAAATAAATAAATAAAGTGCTCAGGAAGAACTCCTGTACACACAGGGCTGACTCAGAGGTTTAGAGGTTTTCAGTCTTCGGTTTGAAAATTCCAGCTCCTCCTCCAGCAGAGTCACAACATTTATGGGCTCACTTAAACTTCTAGGAGGAGTACATTAGCTGTAGTAGAAACTCTGAGCATTTTCAGACTCTTCTAGGATCTAGGAGATATTCTTGGTGGGCATATCACACTCTAATCTTCCCACAAAAACCTGGAAAAATTACTGTGCTGCAGAAAGAATCCCACACAAGTGAGTTACTAATGATGCCTCTATGTTAAACCTGACTTTCTGAAAGTTTTTGAATGGTTCATAGGGCTGTTATTTTTGGATTTTGTGGCCCCATTTATATTTCCTTTTCTTTTGCCCTATTGGAATAGGGCAGTAAGTCTAAACATTTATCACTATAAAGGGATGATCATGAGAACTTCAGTTTTCAATGGGGGATCTTTGATGGAGGACTGACATGTTTCAAAGCTGTGGTGTTACCCAAAGTGGTATTAGGGGACTGGAAGAACTTGTCTCCACCTGGACACTGTGCAGCCTCTTGTGTCCCTGCATTTCCTCTTCTGGATTTCTATTTCCTCGTTATCATCAGAATACCTATTTTTATCTTTACAAAACTGAAGTTGTGTCTTGTACTTAGGTGGAAGTCATTATCTACTGATGGACCGTGCATCTCAGATTCTCCAAAAGCATGGTCATCAGGTGACCATGCTTTGGAAAGGAAACGTTTTCAAGGATATGTTATTTTAAAATTAATTACTACATTCTTCTACTTGAGCAAAAATAATTCCTTTTATATGTAACTGATTAATAAAACTCCTTTATGAATCTACTGTTACTTGAGATGAATAAATTGGGTCTGTGTATACACATGTTTAAGTATTAGAATTTTATTAGGCTCTATAATCTGAGCCTTGAAATGTTAAATTTTTTTCGCGCTATGATTTGGATCTGCTTACAGAATGTTCTCCAAAGTTTCATGTACTTATTTTGGTGTTCAATGTAAAGGTATTGAGACATGGTTAATATTTAAGAGGTAGGGCTTAGTTCCTCCTTCCACCACACTTGGAAGTATTAATGTAATTCTCACAGGAAAAGCATTAGTTCCCATTTGAAAGAGTGCTATAAAAGGGTGAGTCTGGTGTCTTGTTTCTCTCACCATGGACCTCTCACTACTACATGCTTTCTACTGCTGGGCTCTCATCAGAGGTTAACCATCAGTCCAGTCTTGAACTATCAGCCTTTACAACTTTAAGCAAAACAAACTTCTTTCCTTTATAAAGTACTCAGTCTCATGTACTTATGTTCTTTTATTAAAAGAACATAAAACAGGAGACACTCCCTTCCTGAAGTTCATTTCATCCAAGGCAACATTCCACACATTACAACTGATCATTTTAAGAGATTTTACTGTGTAATGTGACTGAAATTTGTATTGACCAGAAGTCTTGAGTCACACTCTGCTTTGTTTATTTAATATATCTCCAATCCTCACATCCCAGAGGTTATTCTCTGCTTCTGTTATGAGACCTAAAATTGAATAAATATTTCCCAGGATGTCTTTTTTGTGCACTATGCTTAGGATGCATGATGAAGAGGTCCTCGTACTCTTGAGGATGAGTATGCAACCCTTATGTTGCACATAGTGGTGTCAGAATTCCTAATTGATAATCAATCCAGAAAACTAAAACTAAAGTGAAGATCATCAATCTCTTTTGGCAGATAAGGATACAGAGGTCCAGAGAATTTAAACATTTTGTCAATGTTACATTGCAAGTTGGGTGAATCTGGAACTTTAAATTCTGAATTTCTCAACCTGAATGTTTCTGAAGTTTTGAAAATAACCCTCCAAATTAAGCAATCTTGATGAAAAAATTTAAACAATTATAAAATTCTGAAGGTACACTTCAATTCTTGTAAACATTCAGAATTTTTAAAAGAACTTACAAATTGCCTTTTCCTTGGGATCTGTACATTCACTGAATATGCTTTCTATATATTTTCCTTTGTATCAGCTATGACAGCCATTCTGTGATTTCAGAGTAATGTATGTTTATTCCATTTTTGTATTTCCCATGGCCTTTGATAAATAGCTGAAAGTTGTAGGATCACTAATTTTGAACAAACCATGCATAACAAATCTATAAACAATTCAGTGGATCCTTAGATCACTCAGTTTTTCCTTAGGATACATCTTGGTATTTCAGAGTTTCTTTCAATATTCCCTGATCTGAGGTTGAAAAGTTATATTTTCTTCTTCCTCAGGGGAACTTGAATAGAGTTCTAAAAGTAGGAAAATACTCAATGATGGGGTTATTTTTGCTTAACTGAGTCGTAGTGCAGTATATTGAAATGTTGAACATCAGTTAACTAACTTTTTTGTATTTCTCTATGTTGGTCACTATGTAAAATTTTTAACAACTTAATGACTTCATATATACTGAAGAACCACACATGTGGTATGTTTTGCAACCTATAAATGAAATCTGGGAAGGAGGACTTAGCAGTTTAAGTTCTGGCTTTTTTCCTTTCTATAAGACAACTTCCCATATTAGGAATATTTAACTGTTTACTGGGTATATTTCACTATTTACTAGATATATTTCCAAAGAGACATAGCCACCTTGTTTTGGGGGGACTGAACAAGTTAGAAGCTATCCTTAGGGGTTTGCTAGACACACTCCAGCTAGAACTGTGTGTAAGACTTTCCTGCTGACCTAACAATTTTCATCCCTCTCAGCATGTCAGTTTTGCTTTGTTTTGGTGAGTAGGTAGGAGACCAGACCAACAGCTGACACAAGAAAGTGCTTCCTGCAGTTCATGCTTCTGGTTGGAATCCTGGGGTTTTCTCTCTATAAATGGTACTCACTTTCGTACAAGGAAGTCAAACATACAGTATCTTATCTGCTGTACAAGGTGAAGTTGATTTCATATTGTTGGGGTTTATGGAACTTAATACAATCAAATCAATTGACTATTAGAATCCATAGAGAGAGAATCAGAGGAGCCATACAGCTGATCAAAATGATGGTTATTTTAAGTCAGTTGAAAAATTTGTGTTGTGATACATATAAAACATTAACAGTTGAATCAAGAAAGAGTAAGGGCTTTGAGAGAGGTCCTGTGTGACTCCTGGGTGTTGTTATTTCTGATTCTTTTTTTTTTTTTTAATTTTTCTTGTATTATTCATATGTGCATACAAGGCTTGGTTCATTTCTCTAGGTCATATGTGGCATGATAAAGGTGCTGATATGTATATGGACTGACTTACGTTCAGGAAGTTCCCACTCCAGTCTTTCTCTCACATATCTCTTTCTTTCTTGGTGTTCTGTTTGGTGAAATTCAGGCACATTGTCCTCCCTGGAATTTGAATTCAGTGCCCTGCAATCAGGGAGAATGCTTCACCAGAAATTAATAACTCCTGCATGAACTGTGTTTTGAGACTCCAGCCAGTGACAAATGTACTTCACTTTCTGATATACCATGTGTAAAAATCTTTTTTTTTCTGAGATTGTTCTTTTCTGTTTTTGACCATCTGACCTTCCAATATCCACTGCTATTGAATCACTAATACTATATGTTAGTGACTATATGTCAGTTTGCATCATTCAGATTTGATATTTTGACTGGTGTTAATTAACATTATTATGTAAAGATTCACATTGTGTATATGAATAATTCTTTTTAAAATTTTTAGTAGCTATTTATTATAGAGGATTACCACAGTGTGCTCACTTAATTTCCTGTTGATATGTATGTTGTTTACAGTTTTGAACTATTTTAAATAAATTGCTATGTACATTTTGTATACAGGTCTTTTGTAAAAAGACCTTATCTTTTTACAGAGATAAGGTCTTTCTTATCTCTGGGTTCATAGGTAAGAATGCAGTGCTTGAAATAAGTTAGTCATATTTTAGTGTGTTTTTTTTTAATGGACAAACTTTTCTCCAAAGGAATTGTATCATTTTAAATTCTCACCAGAGGTAAAAATAAGGTATGGAACACTTGTTATCCTTCCTAAACTGGGTTCCTTGTGGTTTTTCCATTGACTTTAGAACAAGGCTTGTTAACCCTTAGAAATGCCCTAAGACATCTCCTCTGTCACAGACTCTTCCTTCTTTATCTCCTATGTGTGTAGTATCAATCCAATTCTGAAAGACAAGTACATCTTTTTCATGACCTCATGAATTCTTTAGATTTTTTAAATTGACATTTAAAATTACACATATTGTGTGAGGTACCATGTGGTGTTTCAATATATTTATACATTGTGTGATGTCAAAACCATGTTAATATTTACACCTTCCAATTTTCATAGTCACTTAGTGGTAAAAACCTTTAAAATCTTTTCTTCTTTTTTTTTTTGAAACATAGCTAACCACTGCTTAAATATCCCAAGAACACCTCAACACTTTTGAATTGGAGACCCAGCTTCAAAGCAGGTTATGGTATGAACAAAACATACACAAACCATCTTACCCCAATTGTCCAATTTCTATGGTTCAGGAAACAGATATGTGGATTACGCCAATTCTAAGTATTTATATTCTAGTTACACATTCTAAATATTATAAAATGATCACAATCAGTTTGGGGTATAGAGGAGCCAGCATGGATTGGATCTCAGTAAAAATTCCTTCAATATGATCTATGATTTATGATCTCCATAAATTCCTACTTTGAAGGGTGGACCACATTTACATTGCAGGTCTTTTAGAATTTGTGACTGCTCAGATCTAATGTACAATAATGCCTAAAAAATTTGATTATTTCTGTTCTCCAAATGCATAGCTGCACTTGTAAAAGTATGTAGGTTCTCTTGGAGAATGGGAGAGAGTGGTTGACACTATATATTTTTGGCAGTATTGATGGTTCTTTTTCCTCAAAGGACTTTGGCTCCTCTGTGTTTTTTTATGTCTAAAGTCTGTGATTTGATGGCTCATTTTATACTTTTATATACTGTACATAGAACTCTTTTGCTTATACTAAGCAAGAAACAAGGTATTATTACACTGTTCATCTACTTCTCTTTGAGGAACATATGATCAGTTAGTCAGTGCTCTAAGTTGATGTGGATAAGATTTCTCTGAACACTATTTGACTGTATTATCCATTATGGTAATAAAACCCACCTTGGGTTTTGCTGTTAAGTGCTACTATTGACCCAAGTCACACTAAAGTACCAGCTAATCCCATTGCATTAAATGGGATGACAGTGATTGCCACTGAAATTCCTGATTTATGAAGAAGAGCAGATATAGACCTCGTCAGTGATCTTGAGAGTCTCTCATAAATTTATTTCTCACCATTTCTTAGTCTATTTTCCATTGATAATAACCTAGTATCATGTATCGTGTATGCTATAAACAAAAGAGATTAATTTTGTCTCACAGTTCTGGTCACAAGTCACAGGACTTCAGCTCATGTCGGTCTTCTTACTGGCTTCTGTTCTTACCCTGTTCTTTTAGAACCACCAGTACTCAGACTAGGAGTTTCACCTAATCTAATTCTAAGCACCTTGCAATGATGCAACCCAATAGTCACATTCAAGTTTTACTCACTTAGTGAGTGTTAATAGGGGTTAAATTTCAACACGAGAAGCCCTGGAGGACAAACTCGAACCATATCCAGCCATAGCACAGAGTTACATGAAAAACTTTGTCCTTCTGTTCTATTGTACTTCTGAGGTAGGTTAACTTTTTGCACAATAAATCCATTCAAACATTTCATTTTCCCTAAATTGTTTGCTCCACTCTGCTACAGTGTACTAAGGCAGTTCTGACATTTCATCTTACGGAGTGTAGGCCACTCTTTGGTCCAAGTTTAATCCAACTCAACAGAGTCCCTTTTAAGCTATTGAGATTCAATAAGGGGATGAATCAAGATTCACTCCTTAGCCCCATATCAATAATTCAATCTGATCCAACTATATGCTTCTTCCACTATTATACCCCATAGTTAATATCTGTTCCTACATACATATCCCAGGTTTCTGTCTGTGTATTTTGGAGAAATCATACAGTTGTTCATTATTTAGTGAAGTCTATTTGTGGATAAACCTTTGCACTTCCTGGAATCTAGAAACAAGTGTGAATAATTGGGCTTGGTCCTGAGAAGAAACACACATAAAAAAATCTCAGAGAAAACCTATTTTGTTTCTTAGATACATCTGAATTAACTTACTCTGACAGATACAGAAGGGTAGCTTCTACATGAAAGAAAGACTATTGAAGACATGGGTCCCTTATTCCTAGCTTCATTAGGATCTGCCTATATATCCCTAGCCCAAAATTTAGGATCCCATTTCTTCTCAACCAACATTGTGAAAGAACAGTAGAGAACATTTTCCAAAATCAAAAACTCTTGTTGTAATATAGTCATTCTCCTCAGGAGATTGAGTTTTAGTTCCAGAAAAGTAAACTCTGAAGCTAGAGGAGAGAGTGTTTTCAGAGCAGATTTAAAAGTTTTCAGGTCATTTGTGTGTGGCCGGATGTGGAAATTTGCAGCTGTGATCTCATTTCTGCATTTACTCATGTTCTCTTTCAAGTTAGGAAAAACCAGTGATACCATTACTCACTTTAGTTTGAATAAAGTACCCCAGAATGTTCCCTTTTATGAGACTTTACTTAGCTGCATTCACGTTAGTATTTTTCATTTCTTTATTGCCACACAATAGCATTGTAAGAGTGCTCCAATTAGCACTGGAAAGTTATTGGTGAATTAATATATAACCAATCACAATTGTAGAAACTCACATCTAATCAGTGTCCTGTATACAAACAGAATCAATAAGAGATATACACAGACACACAGACACTCATACACAAATGTGTATTTCTAAGATATGATTTATACGATTTTGGCAAGTTCAAAATCTATAGGAAAGGCAGGCTACCTGCAAAATCTCAAGGAGTAATAAATGTTATGGCCTGGAAGCAGCATTTCATTTTCCTCAAGGATAACTCAGTTCAAAATGTTTGAAATGATTGGTTAAAGTCCAATTGATACTGAGGATTATCTTGTTTACTTAATATGAATTTATTATAAATGGTGATCACAGCATAAAATACTCTTGTATTAATATCTACATTAGTGTGTGATTATATAACAAATTTGCCAAGTTTACTCACAGAAGAAAATTTTTTGGCACTTTAATATTTATTTTATTGTTGTGCTAAGTAGGGGTACATTGTGACATGTACAAAGTTCTTACGATATATCAAATATATCATACATAGAAGAAAATTTGAAGTACTATGTTTTATAGCTTTCTATCTACTTGTCAAATATCTCTGAATTATGTCTCTAGAACTGAAGGTGTAGATGATGGGGTGCTACTCTTTGAATCACATCTCTGTTTTATGGTCTGGGAGCAAAGTGGAGGGGTGGGCAGTAGTCACAAAAAATATTTATTTGAATGGCAAAGTAGCACCTGAGTATTCAGACCAGTGTAGAGTGCTTGCCTAACTGCCTAAGGCAGGGAAGGGAGCCCCAAGTCTTGAAGAACATATTTAACCAGAACTCAGCCTCAGCAGTTTGGCTGAGGGATAGGATTTAAAATGCTGACGTCCTGCCTCTCCCAGGAAAATGCCTCTGGGTATTGCTGGGTGGTAGATAGGGTATCTGTGTTCCTGGCTAGTGATCTGGATGGGAGTCTGCCTCTGAGTGTTTAGAGAAGAAAGCAAGGGAGTGAGTCTTTTCATAATTACCACAAAATTTATCTGCTTTCTATGACATTTGGCAGGATTCAGAATAATGCTGTTTTACTGCCATTTCCAGAGATATCAATTCTCATTCTCTCTCTCTCTCTCTCTCTCTCTCTCTCTCTCTCTCTCTCTCTCTCTCTCTCTCTCTCCCTCCCTCCCTCTCCTCTCACATTTTCAGCTATTTTGGTAGGCTGTGTAGCTATTTTGGTAGGCTGTGTCCATTAGTTCATCAGGTTGTTATTCTAGTTCTGGTAGTGGCGGCCAATAGAGATGAAGTGTCATTAAACTGATTGCGCAATTCTTCCCTAAAATTTCATTTAAATGAGTGCAATGCCTTCTGTTTTTTGAGGGGCAGTGGTATATCCCCTTACGTGTCCTTCTTTGTGCGTATCTTGTATGACTGCATCCAGTGGATGTCTTGTGTGAGTGTGCTCAGTGAATCTACTTGGCTCAGACAGGATGTATTGATAAAAATATCATGACTGTGACCTGGGGAAAATTGGCTAAAATTAAAGTCTTGCTCACAGATTGTAGGCAGGACAGTTCAATTGTGCCACGGTTTTCTAGTTCAGATGATTTATGCTCTTTGAAAGATCAAGATAAAGGGAAATTACGACTGAAAGATTGTAGAAATAGGCAACGGACATTGCATATCAGTCAAATCTATCACTGCAATGTGTTTTACAGAATTTAAATATAATAAGTCATTCCAATAGCTTTCTGTATGATGTAGCAAATATAAATTAGAGTGGCCCAAGGCTGCAGTAATAAACTGTGTAGCATGTTTTCTTCTTTCCAGGTTCATGATAGTTCATTTTCTACAAGGTAAGAGATACAGTTTCAGTCTTTTGCATGTAGACAAACAGTTTCTCAGCACCATTTGTTGAAAATGCAGTGTTTTTCCAGTGTATTTTTGGGCTCCTTTGTCAAAGATCAGATGCCTGTAGCTATATGGTTTTATTTCTGGGTCTTCTATTCTGTTTCATTGCTCTTTGTGTTTGTTTTTGTGCCAGTACCATGCTGCTTCTGTTACTACGACTCTGCAGTATATTTTGAAATCAGTATTGAGATAACTCCAGAATCACTCTTTTTTAAATAAGGATTACTTTTCCTGTTGGGGATCTTTTATTTTTCCATATGAATCTTAGGATAGATTTTTCTATTTCTGCAAAGAACGACATTGGAATTTTGGTGAGCATTGCATTGAATCTGTAGATTGCTTTCGGTAGTATGGCCTTTTCACAATTTTAATTCTCCCAATTCATGAGCATGACAAGTCTTGTCATATCCTGGTATCTTTATCAATTTCTTTCTTTAAGGTTTTGTTTTTATTGTAGGGTCTTTCATCTCATTCCTTAGGGTTATAACTACGTATTTCATTTTTTTAAGGCCATTATGAATGGAGTTGTTCCCCTGATTTATTTCTCTGTCTGTTCATTGTTGGTACATAAAAATCTACTGATTTTTATAATTGATTATATATCATGCTATGCTTCTATCAGATCTAGGACTTTTTGGTGCAATCATTAGGGACCTTCATGTGTAAAATCTTATCATCTGTGGATAGGGATAATTTGACTTATTCCTCCCTTACTCGAATCCCTTTTATTTCTTTCTCTTGACTTAGTCCTCTGACTAGGAATTCCAAAACTATATTGAATAGGAGTGGGGAGAGTGGTCACCCTTTTCTCATCCCTGACTTTGAAAGGAATGATTTCAGTTTTTCCCCAGTTAGCATGATGCTGTGTGTAGGTTTGTCTTATTATATTGAGGCGTATTTTTCTATTTCTAGATTTTTCAGAGATTTTTATTATGAAAGAATATTGAGTTTTGCCAAAGGCTTTTTCTACATCAACTGATCTCAATTGATCATGTGATTATTTTCCTTGATTATGTTTATGGCCTGTATTGTTTAACAAAAAAGTTTGAGGAGTATCGGTGAGAATTCTTTAAAAGTGTCATAGAGTTTGGGAGTGAATCCACTGAGCCCTGGGCTTTTCTTTATTGGGAGACTCTATTAATATTGCAATCCCATTGCTTGGTACAGATAATATTTATGTAGTTTTTATTCTTTTGGTTCAATTTTGGTAGTTCAAATGCATCTAGAATTTTATCCATTTCTTCTAGATTTTCCAGTTTATTTGAATATAGTTTTTCAAAATATTCCTTCATGATCCTCTGAATGTCATTGGTGTTTGTTGTGATATTTCCTTTTTCATATCTAATTTTAATAACTTGGGTATTTTCCCTTCTCTTTCTTGTCAGATTGGCTAAGGGATTATCAAACATGTTATCTTTTTGAAGGTCAAAAATTTTGGGTTCTCTATTTCATTAATTTCTGTCTGAATTTTTATGATTTCTTTCTATCTGCCAATTTGGAGTTTGGCTTGTTCTTGTTTATCTAGGAGCATGAGGTGCATTATTAGTCTATTTACTTGAGATTTTTTTTTAATATATGCACTCATAGCTAAAAACTTTCCACTTAGCTCTGCCTTTGCTGTATCCCATAGATTCAGGTTGTTGTGTTTTTATTTTCATTAGATTCTCTAAATTTTTTAGTTGGCCAGCCCTTTATTCCTTCAATGACTCACTGTTCATTCAACAATGTGTTGTTCAGTCTCTATGTGTTTGAATATTTTCTGTAGTTTCCTTTGTTGTTGAGTTCTAGTTTTATTCTGTTGTGGTCTGATAGAATACAGGGAGTTATTTCAACTTTTTAACATCTGCTATGACCTGCTTTTCATCCTAAAAATATAATCTATTTTGGAGAAAGTTACATGGACTGCTAAGAGGAAAGTGTTTTGTGATGCTGCTGAGTGAAATACTCTGTATATGTCTGCTAAATCCATTTGGTCTATAGTGTAATTTAATTCTGAGGTTTCTTTATTGATTTTTTTCTGGATGATCTATCTTTTGGATATTGTGGGGTATTTCAGTCTCCAACTATCATTGTGTTTTGGTCTGTCTGTGCTTCTAAGTCCAATGATGTTTGTTTAATGAGATGGGTGCATTAATATTAGCTGCATATATGTTAGTAGTTGTTATTTCCTCTTGGTGTATTGCTCCCCTAGGTGACCTTCTTTGTCTCTTCTGACTAATTTAGGCTTGAAATCTACTTTATGAGATATAAGTATAGCTACTTCTGACTGTTTTCAGGGTCTATTAGCTTGGAGAATCTTTGTTTACCCTTTCACCCTAGGTCAATGGTTGTTTTTGTCAGAGAGATGTATTTTTTATAGAAAATCCTGGGGTCTTGCTTTTTAATCCAGTTCACAATTCTGTCTTTTAATGGGGGAGATCCATTAATATTGAAAGGTATATAGTAATTCCTATCATTTTGTTGCTTTTTTAGTGTTAGGTTCTTTTCTATTCTTCATTTACTATCTACTCCTCTGACAAAATTTATCTATTCCCATATTTTCAAGAGTATGTTTGTCTTTATTTTCCATGTGTAGGATTCCTTTGAGTATCTTGTAGAGTGCTGATTTGGTGGTCAGAAATTGCTTTAGTTTATGTTTACCATGGAAGGTTTTTATTTCTACTTCAATCATGAATGACAGCTGTGCTGGATAGAGTAATCTAGATTTGCAGTTATTTTCTTTCAGTTCTTAAAATACCTCATTCCATGTCCTCCTTGCTTTTAAGGTTTCTGTTGAGAAATCTGCTGTTATTCTAATCAGTTTGCCTTTATACATGACTTGGCACTTCTCCTTTGAAGCTTCAATATTCTTTTCTTGTACTATGTACTTGATGTTTTAAATACAATATATCACAGAGAGATTCTATTTCAGTCTTGTCTGTTTGGTAACTTAGAAAACTCCTATACCCAGACAGTCATCTCTTCCTCAAGATTTGGGAAGTTTTCTGCTATGATTTTGTTGAATGCTTTCATTCCCTTAGGTTGCAACTCTGTCCTTTCTTCCATACTCATGATTCATAGGTTTGGTCTTTTAATGGGGTCACATAGTTCTTGCATATTGCATTTGAATTTCTTCTCTTTTCCGTATTTTTATTACTTTTTAAAAATTATGTCTACTTTGAATTTAAGCCATGTTATTCTGCTTTCTACTTGATTCAGTCTGCTGGAGAGGCTTTCAACTTAAGTTTTTATTTGACTTAATGCCCTTTTGATTTCCAACATTTCAATTTGATTTTTTCAGGTTTTCTATATATTTATTAAATTCTACTTTCATGTCTTGTATTGTTTTCCTTATTTCATTTAGATGTGTATTTGTATCTTCCTTGCATTCCTTCAACTGTTTGTATCCGCTTTGCATTCATTTTGTTGTTTCTTTGTATTCTTTTTGAAATCATGTATCTGTTTATTCGTGTTCTCTTTGAAATGTTTATACGTGTCTTCTGTCATCTTATTAATCATTTATTCATTCTTATCATCTTTCTTTTTAGCTCAGTAATTGAGATTTCACTCACTTTCTTGTCAATCAGATCTTTGTGGTGTGGTTGTTTATTTTTGATGTGTCATATTCCCTTGACTTCTCATATTTCTTGTGCTTCTATTTTGAAATGTGTTCATCTCTAGTCAATTAGTTGATTACAGGCTTTAGTCACCTAAAGTCTTTCCCTTGAATTATTCACTATGTTCTGTCAGAACAAGTTTATGGCAGGGTTGATGTGCCATTTCTGACTACTGGGCTGGAAGTATAACTCAGCAGAAACAAATTCACCAATTTAATACCAAACCAAATATTTATATGAAGCAAAATATCATTGGAAGCATAATCTATGTAATCAATTTTTATTTAGGGAGGGGACTAGAGTACTTAAGGGGCAGTAGGTAGTTAGAAAAAAAACTTGTTTGTGTAGTAGTTAAAAGTTAGGTGACAAAATAAGGGGGAGTGAGGTAGGAAATAAGGGACAAGAAAGATGGGGAGAAGGGGAGTGAAGGGTGAGGTCTGCAAGGAAACAAACACTAGTGTGTAGGGATAGAATTTTACTATTGTGAAGAAGGGTGCTATTGTAAATGATTGTAAAAGGATAGAAAGTTTAATAGTAATAAAAGAAGGAGGTAGAATAAACTGGCACCACAATAGTTTCCAAACAAGAGATAGAAAAAAGTAAAAGAAATGAAAACTTAAGGGGAAAATAACAATAGAAAACAGGAACATTAAAAATTAAAAAAAATTTGAAAGTCGAAATTTTTCCCTTTCATAGAAGGGTGAATGTTAGCTGGACTTTTTCATTACACTGGATCCTACCCTCCAATCTCTGGTCTTCAGGTTTTTGTCTCCAGTTCTTCTGAGAGAGGGGTTAATAGCTCCTGTCACTTGTGTATATGCATATATTACTGGGTTGGGTGGTGGATTAAGGGCTCTATCCAGCTTGCTTTGATGCTTTCCTTGTCTTGGCATGGAGAGATGAATGCTGGAGCACTAGACAGCTAGCCTCATTGCTTCATATGCTTCCTTTGAATAGAGACCCTGAGCTGAGAGCCTACATCCTAACTCTGCTAGGAGCCTTTAACTAGATCACTTAGGCAAAAGTTTCTTTGGACATCAGATGTGTTTGCATGCATGGTAGGCTTGGATGAGTGGCAGGCCTCAGAGGTAAAACTGGTTAAAGTTTGAAAGTTCATGTACTTTTGCCCTCTACCCCATTGGTCCAGGGCCAGGTGTGTGGGCCTTTGAACAGTCTGCTTAGCTAAACATTTTCTCAGGGTTGGGTTGGATGTATTTGTTTGTGTGCTGGGTTTGGCTGAGCAGTGGCCCTCAGGGTTATCCCTGATTATAGTTAAGTTGGTGCAGATTCACCTCCTTCCCCACTGGTCCAGGGCCAGGTGTGGAAACCTTTAAAAATCCACTTTTTAAACTTTTTTAAAGTTTTTAAAAAACTTTTAAACTTTTTAAACTTTTTAAAAGTTTTCTCAGGGGTTATAGTATTTGCACCTGCATGCTGAGCTGGCAAGTGTGACAGCCCTCAGGACTGAAAATTACCCCACTGTCTGGTTCCCATGCTGGTCTTTCTGCCCTTAGTGGTGGGGCACAGATAGCAATTGGCTTCAGCATTATGGCCCAGGAAAGACTTGCCAACCTGCTCTTAGCCTCCATGCAGTTGTTTTGTTTACAAGGTGGCCCTTGCAAGGAAGCAATTCAAGTACAGGCAGTAAAGGAAAGAAAACAAAATGAAAAAAACCTGGGCTGAGAGGAACACAGGATGGAGCAAATCCAAGTCTATAGCCATGCACCTCAGAGGAAATGCACTTTTAGAGGTTTAGTTAGAGATTGGTATTTCTAGCTATTATTTGTCCTTATACGGGCACTCTCTCTCTCTCTCTCTCTCTCTTTTTAACATATTAACTTGCCTATCTCTCTTTGAAGCCATGTACCTGAGTTTTTGTTTCAAATTCATGGAGGCAAGGGAAAGTGGTGCCAGTTAACAACCTGCTATCTTGGAAACCCGAATAATTTTAATATGATGGAGCAGATCCATAGCATCCCTTTTTTGTCAAGTTGATTTTAAATGCTAAAGACTTAATTTTTAGCTCAGTTTATTCTGTGTTAGATAAGAGCAGTCATTTACAGTATGGAATATTTTAAGAAGTTAATTTTAAGACCATGGGAAATTTAGTTGCAATGATTAAAATGGAATATTCTGCATTACTCTCTACTTTTATATTTTGTGTCTTCTTAAGAGTACATGAGGTATATTATTTAATTTAGTGAGATATTATGATATATTGGTCGCTTTTGACCCAGTGTGTAAGAAGGTTTGCAATGGTTCATCTCATCTGATGTTAAAGGTAATTTAGAACCTATGATACAGAGGCACAAAAACCAATCAGTACTTTATGTTTTTCTGTAAAAATGAGCACTAGATTTCAAAAAAAAAAAATTGCCAGCTTCTTATTTGTTTTTACAATACACCTTCTCTAAAACTAATTCCGTCAATTTTTGTTCTTATTAGATATACTTGGGTTGTGATGTGTATTTTCTAATCTACTCATGTCTATAAATGTCTCCTTCTAGAGAGTATCAAACACCATAATCTAGTTGAGGGCCCTCTGTTGAGGTGAATTTGAAAGTCTTAAGTCTTAATTCAGGCTTGAATGAACCCTTGTCTGTGCTGCAGTGATATCACAGATATTTTCACATATAGCTCAGTTAATATTTCTAACTTAAAGACATAGAGTCAACAGGGGGAGAAAGACATTTTCTAGGGTCCTCAAATTACACCTATTTGTAGGAATTGGACATGAGCATGGTACGCCACTCAGGGGGATCATATATGCACTGGGTGTTATTCTTACCCCCGAGTGCTCTTTACGATGGGATCCACTGCTTGACTGATACTCACAACCAGTGGATCTATAGTAAGTGCTCTTCTCCTGAAGCAGAGTTACCCATAGTTCATGGTGGAATGGAGAAACATTATTCAGTTTGAGAAACACAGATAGGGTCAATGGGGCACATGACCCAGGAGCACTGAGGGTCCACATCCTATATTCTTTCTCTAATTGCATTACTGAAAGTTCTGAGTATGACTAAGGTGAAGATTCCACTGTTTTGGTATGGATTTCTTGGTTTGAAATTCACATCAATACCAAGGACAAAAAGGTATTGGCCTTTACCCTCAGTTTTCCAGTTCAGGCACAAAGTTGATGTTGGAAGTAAGGCTTGAAATTGTCAGTTGTAAGACTTCATGTATAGTGTTGCACTTTATATTACACATGAGTGAGAGGACAGACTGAGAAGTAGGGATTCTATTATTTTTTTTTAGTTACCTGTTTTAACTGAAAGTTTTTATTGAATTAAAAAAAACCTTTTTTTGTTAATTTATTCACATGTGCATACATTGTTTGGGTCTTTTTTTTTTTTTTTTTGCATTGTAAGATATGGATCAGGCTTGTGATACCAGTGAGGCCTGAGGAAGGAAAGTTACAAGTTCATGACCAGCATGAGGAATACACAAAAGTAATCTTTTTGCATAAATCACTTTAAGTAATGAAGTGAGTTTTTCTAAAGGACAAAAACCAGGAACTCTGGACTCAAACAAACCTCTATTTAAATACAAATCATACTACTCACTGTGGGCAAAGTGGAGTAGCTCACACTGCGTTACTCTCTATTTTCCCACCTGTAAAACAAAAGTAATAACTATTAAATGGAAGCTTTATATAGAATTTTCCATAAATTGAAATTGAATAAAGGTCCCTGAATCATTGTAAAGACATAATAAATATCCACAGGTTAACTCAATGAGCAAAAAAGGAAAGTAAAACAAAGAAAGAACTTTAAAAGCAAACATTCCTATAGGGGTTAAATTAATGGAACAATGCAATTTCATTGTGATTATGGTAACACTAAATCTAGATGCAGTTTGGTATATTTATGTTTTCAACCAATTGATGTTTTCTTCGTTTTCAAAGACGAGGAAATTTCATACCAGGTTATCAGTTGGCTTCTATCCGAAAATCAAAAAGAAGAGCTAAGGAAGAATTTAGATTTTTATGTACAAGAAGGCTTGCATGGAAGGCAATTTGTTTTTATTCTTTGAACCAGAGAGTCACTATTTTAGTCATATAGATGAATAAATAGATGCATGATCTTTAAGTGAATTTAAGAGAAATGGATGAGTGTGTGGATAGATGAACGTGGCAACTGATGATGTGTGAGTGAATGGATGACAGGTGGATGGATGGTGGAGTAAGTGATCGATTGGAGGGATAGAAGACAAGTGGTTTGTAGGGTGTGTATTCCCTGTCATCCAGTTGTGCCCTTTTTAACTACAATCGTGGAAGTAATTCTATATAAGGATAGGGTTGCTCCTTCTCCTCTACCCTCAGCTATTCATCTACAATCTTTTTTGATATTTTCCAAAAGAAACAAGCCAGAATAGACACATAGACACTTTACCTTCTCATTGTAGAGAAATAAAACCACTTTTCTCCACTTGTTTTATCAACTTTTCCTCACAAAAATTCACCAATTGAAGAAAGTCTATGGATACTGATTTTCCTACCATGAACCTTCCTTTTTATATGCCTTCACAAACTCAAATAATCTGAAGATAAGCAATGAAAATGAGTCTGTCATTTTAACCTCATGCAGAATATATAGAATCTCCATCTTCTTCCACATAAAAGAGAAACAACAGAAATCCATGTCTTTCTTAGTTGATTACAGTCCCTTTGTTTAATTACAGTTCTCTACCCTTGAAAATTACATTTAACAGCCATGGAACCACACAGAACTGATTTTTTTCCAAAGAGAGGTCTTCTTCAACTTACCTGGAAGACCACATTTCCTTCTCTAGAGGTCTGATATAAAACCCTCATGTGGCACTTAATTTATGCCATCTTGCATTCTAGTTTATATTTTTGAAGTGTTTCAAAGCATATGTTTTGTCTCTTCCTCCATAGCTAAAGACCTTTTTTTGTTTGTTTCAGCCTTGTGTTTTAAAGTCAGCATGCCCCAACTTTATTTCTTTGAAGACTGGCTCAACATACATATTAAAAAATGATTAAAAATGGTTCAAGTTAATGAGAACATTGACTTCCTGAGACATTTTTGTAATTTATTTAATATAAATACATTAATTTTCTCCTTTGAGGAATTAATACTGTGTATATGTCCAAATATTTCATATGCATTCTTTATGAAATATATTATAAAAAATGAAAGGGGATAATTTTAGAGTCGTGCCTTGTATTAGTTCAGTTTCTAGTACTATAACAAAATAAATGAGGCAGGCTGGATACTAATAAAGAAAAAGATAGTTATTGAATTATAGTTCTGCAGGTTCAATAGCATTGTACCAGCATCAGCTGGACTTTGCCTGAGACTAAATGGCAGATTGCCTTACAGTAGTAGGAACACATGTGTCAGTAAGAAACCAAGGAATGAGACAGGATGTCAGAGCAAGGGAGGGCCCAGGCTTGCACATTTTGTAATAACTCTCCCATAATAACTAACTCAGGATCCATTAGAACTAACTAATTGCTACTGAAAAAAGGGCTTTCAATGACCTCTCACTTGAATTTTAAGAATTCCCACTACCTCTACATAACCACAACGAGGACCAACCATAAACACTTGAGGATGAACTACATCTAAACTGTATATCATCATTGTGACGTGAGGTTGATTCTACAGAATAGATAGAAATCTGAATGTTTACAAGTTTTCAACGGTAGCTCTGGCTTATGTTCTGACAATATGCAGTGGGTTAGAGGTTGCAGGTTGCTGAGCTATTGATTCTTTTAGACTTTCTTAGACCAGGCTATCCATGGAGTTCAAAAGCACTTATGCCTGTTGCCTGTGTCAAGAAACTTCCTCATCTGTTTCCTATTATCTGTACAAATCTGGTTATTTTCCACACATTCAGTGAGGGAAAATCATTGGAGGAGAATGGTCCCTGGAATAGTGTCATAGGCAAGAGCCTTAATTATCTGTGTCTAAAACTTTAGCATTATTTTTTGTGAGTACTAGAGCCAGCATGAGGTAATAAGAAGTTTCCAATCTGGTTTTTGTTTTTAATTTATGTTCATTTGGTTTTCATTCCATCTTCTCATCAAGAAAATTGGAAATCTCATATTCACTTGAAAGTTTGGATTCTAATATCATCAGAAGAAAGTTCCTTATGTGAGATACTCAATTAAATCCAAGACATAAAGCATTTAAGAAAAGATTATGTTGTCACTAATTATGGAAGCTATAATGAAGTTGCTTATACAGATTGATAGGGAAAACAATATAGCACTCAGAAAGTCATTACACAGGTGAGAGTTAAACACTTGAAGAAGGACAAAGAAAACTCTGAGATTTGCTATAGTTAGTGATGGCTTCCAGACTAGAAGAAAATGAATTCACATTGATGGTAAGTGGTATGAGAGGAAGTGGGAAAATTTTAGAGAACAGAAGTACCTGGACCAAAGCCACAAGAGCTAAAGTTATTTTTGAAGAGTGGTAAAATATGTGGATGGATGCTGGCTAATCTATATTTACCTGCAATATTGTCTTTGACTCTAACATTATACTGAATACTGTGAAATTAATACCTTTTCAAAATGTTTGTTACTGATTTTTTATAGGGACAGATTTCACATCTATGTAAGGATATGTGAATACCTTGGGACATTATGCAGTGATCTGCTAAGCAAAAGGGACATCATGGAGTCCTTAAGAAGAGAGAACTTTGACCTGCTATTTTTTGATGTATCAGATCCCTGTCATTTCCTGATTGCTGAGAAGCTTGGGAAACCATTTGTGTCCTTTCTTCCCATAATGTTTAGCCGTTGGGACTTTGGGCTACCAAAACCCTTGTCTTATGTTCCAGTGTACCTTTCTGGTCTATCTGACCAAATGGGCTTTTGGGGCCGAGTGAGGAATGTTCTGATGTCCTTTGATTTCTCCATGAAACAAAGGAAAATACTGTCTATGTTTGACAACACCATCAAGGAGCATTTTACAGAAGGTCCTGGGACAAAACTGGTCTAGGCAGAGCTGTGGTTTGTTAACTCAGACTTTGCCTTTGAATTTGCTCATCCTCTGCTTCCCAACACTGTTTATGTTGGAGGTTTGCTAGACAAACCTGTTAAGCCAATACCACAAGAAAGTAAATGCTTAGTACTTTGTTTGGATTTTATGCAGAGGATAAAATTTACTGCATAGGTTGTAATTGCTATCTGACCCATCCTGAGAATGAAGTAGGTTGAGGGAAGGGAAGCTCTAGTTTTCCATATGTTATGGTAGAGCAAATGCAGTATTAAGCCTTTCTAACGCTGCTATTGAGGGATCCTCTCTTGCCTCATATTCATCTTGGTAAGAAGTGGTATAAGCTCTCAAATTAATGTTGAAATTTTTATTTTGTTTGATACACAATAAAGATGCAGTGAGTGTTCATTACATGTAGCAATTGCTTATGGAGTAAGTTAATTACAAGAAAACAGAAAAACAGCACTGAGACAGGATGTACCCATGACAGGCCTGTGTGGGACTGACAGTAAGAACTGTAGCTATTACCTCCTGTGCCTTCAGCCTGTAAACTCTAGCTCCTGGCTCAACCAAGATCTTCTGATTTGATTCATCTGTGGCAGCTAGAGCTGTATTATGCTATCCAAGCTGCCCTGGTGGTTTGAATGCCCTGCCTGTACTCAGAAGTACTTCCAGTGAAATTTAGAAGTGTGGAGAGCTAAAGTTAATTGACTGCCTGTTGCCTATTAGTGCTGAATTGCCATTTTGCAGATTTACCATATATAATAACTTGGCACCTGTTGGGAGATGTGATCTTCTCTACTTTATAAAAGGGTGGCCTGGATGACCAGGTGATGTAGGTGAATATTTTCAGCCATAAAATGAGGTGAATTAATAATAGAAGGTGCTTTAATTTGGAAGAAACTTGGAAATGGTATACAATGTGAAAGACTGCAACACATAAGTCACACCTTGTCTCATTCCGTTTACATAAAGCCTTAAAAAGAGGTAAATACAAACACAAAATGAGCATATTGGTGGTGAAGAGTAACTTCTTATTGTGATGTTATGGACAATTGAGAATGTACTAAATGCAACTAGTGTTTCATGTAAAAAAGAATCACATTTCTGTTATATGAATTTCACTTCAGTAAGAGAACCCAATCATCTGGGTGACATGGATCTATATCATGCCCAATCTGAAGTTGGACCTTATATTTAATGTTTTGAAAATATTTTCCAAACTGTTTCTAATTTTCAGTGATGTCTTCAAACCACTCATATACCTAATGGATTTTGATGGTCAGTAACAGGACACAAAATGCCCAAGTATAACATACTAAGTGATACACTAGATATAATGATCTAGAGTCCTACCCAATCCAGCCTTCACTAGTTATGACAGTAATATCCTCCTAGCTTTTCCAACTCATTCTCCAGAAGGCCAACTATACGCTGCTCAACCAGGACATCCACTTGTTCTCTACTGGACATTATCGCCTCCTGTCAAGCCTTAAAAATTTTCCAAATCTCTACATCTCCCAGGACCTAGAATGGGCAATGAAGATGGCCCTAACAGTAGGATCAGGAATTTTTAAACTTTGGGAAGTTAACATATTTTTGTTGTACTGGGTTTACTGTGTTACATTTACAAAAGTGCTTACAGTATATCTTAGATTTACCCCCTCCATCTTTCTTCATTATCCCCCATTTCCTCCTTCTTAAAAGTTTCAATAGATCTCATTGTTCCATTTTCATACATGAGTATATAATATTTCCACTATTATTTTCCCTCCTTCATCCTTTCCTTATGTCCTCCCCACTCCCACAGGCATCAATCCCCAGATAGGGTCTGTTTTACCTTCATCTTCTTCATTTTCAAAAAAAAAAAAAGACATTTTTTAAGAGGAAAGATACTCATGTACATCCCACCTTCCCCCTTCCACAAAATATTTTTAGACATAAATGTAAGTACCTCTTGTGTTATAAAGGCCATTGTGTTGGCTGATAACTTAAATCCTTGATCACACTCATTCATGCCTGTTTAAAGTGTTTGTATGGAAAAATATGTCTGGAATTGTTTTAAAAATGACTTCTAATTGATGTAGTCGAATAAAGGTGAGCACAGTGCAGACACCAGCATGCTGTTCAAGAGGCTATGAAGTATTTTTAGGACACTGAGTACAAGGTGCTCTGAGGTGCATTGTAAATTCTCTGATTTTCATTTCATGGCTGCTTAGACAATCTAAAGCAACTTTGTTGCCTTCTTTCCTTTCTCCTCCCTTCCAGGACCTGGAGAACTTTATTGCCAAGTTTGGAGAATCTGGATTTGTCCTTGTGGCTCTGGGCACATTTTTGAGCATGTATCAGACCCCAAAATTCCTTAATGAGTTGAATAGTGCCTTTGCCAACCTCCCTCAAAGGGTGATATGGAATTGTAATAGTTCTCAGTGGCCCAAAGATGTCAAAATGCCCACAAATGTGAAAATTATGGACTGGCTTCCTCAGAATGATCTCCTGGGTAAGAGCTGCCTGTGACTCCTCCTCTGTTTCCATTGACTTCTCTTTGGGACTCACCCAGTTCTAAAGTCTAGGTGGGCCCTCAAAAGAAACTGTTGATAGGTAAAGATAAGTCTCCAGAGGGCGAGCAAGGAGCAGCTAAATGGTGTTCTTGAAGATTTAGACTATACCTACAAACTGTCCAAATATCCTTTTCTCCTCCTTCCCCATTCCTGGCCATGTCTCAAGTCCCCAACTAGAAATGTGATTATGTGATGGGACCTTTACTGTAGCATATCTAATACTGGAAATTGTTACTCCAAGACAACATATGAACTTCAAGAACATAAACACATGTGTACATGCCATTCTTTACAGTGGCCTCCTGAACACCTGCATATGGCACTACAAAAACATGTAGCCACATCCCTTTTCTCCACTAAGGATGTGAGCAATGCTTACCTTCGCAACTTTTATGTCAGCAGTCTGTGGGAGGGTGTGCCAAGCTGTCTGAACGCCAAGTGGAGCAACCTCACAGCAGGTTCTCTTGTGTTCCTTGGCACAGCTACTTACACCTCATAGGTTTTTTTTAGGTCTCTGTGCTATATTTAGGAGATCTCTCACTGCCACAAATGGTCAGCGCATCAATGCTTCATAACTAAGATTATATCTCAAAATCACTTTGAGAATTTAAAATAAATATTTCTGTACATTCATATAGCAATTCATGCACTGTGGAAACATTGTTCATTGTCAAGGGAACACAGTTGGATTCTCTGAGAGACACACTTTGAGACCAGTTCTTCATTATCCACAGTCATTTTAATTTGTTCTGAATAAGGGTGGAACAGGCAGGCTGAACTCAGAAACACGGAAGTATCTGGTTTATGCTTCCCTGGTTTCAATGTTTATCTCAAAGTAGAGGTGACAGTATAAGTTCTTTTTTTTTTTTTGTGCGTTATCTTCTTTTTTTTAAAATTTTATTATTCATATGTGCATACAAGGCTTGGGTCATTTCTCCCCCCTGCCCCCACCCCTTCCCTTACCACCCACTCCGCCCCCTCCCTCTCCCCCCCACCCCCTCAATATCCAGCAGAAACTATTTTGCCCTTATTTCTAATTTTGTTGAAGAGAGAGTACAAGCAGTAATAGGAAGGAACAAGGGTTTTTGCTGGTTGAGATAACGATAGCTATACAGGGCATTGACTCACATTGATTTCCTGTGCGTGGGTGTTACCTTCTAGGTTAATTCTTTTTGATCTAACCTTTTCTCTAGTTCCTGGTCCCCTTTTCCTATTGGCCTCAGTTGCTTTAAGGTATCTGCTTTAGTTTCTCTGCGTTAAGGGCAACAAATGCTAGCTAGTTTTTTAGGTGTCTTACCTATCCTCACCCCTCCCTTGTGTGCTCTCGCTTTTATCAAGTGCTCAAAGTCCAATCCCCTTGTTGTGTTTGCCCTTGATCTAATGTCCACATATGAGGCAGAACATACGATTTTTGGTCTTTTGGGCCAGGCTAACCTCACTCAGAATGATGTTCTCCAATTCCATCCATTTACGACAGTATAAGTTCTATAAGAGAACAGAGATGGGAGTAGCAGAGACTGAAAACATAGATGAACTATGTAAAGAAAGAGTCACTGTAGGAAGAGAAGGATGGATGGTTGGATAGAGGAACATCCCTGACTTGTCATTCTTATCTGCAGCTTACCCTGGTTTCTGGGTCTCAGATGTGCTGAAGCTGAGGTAAGGAATCTCTATTTAGACAGAAGGTTTGGAAGACCCTCCCTTCAGTTTTTCCCAAGCAAAATCAATGAATTTACTCCCTACAACACACCTTGATGTCTCCTTGATATTTCTCTGCTCCTCTGCCTTACCTAGTGTTCTGAACATTTTCATCTTGAAATGTTCCATTCTCTTCCTTCATTTCAACAGCTCACCCTAGCATCCGTCTTCTTGTCACCCATGGTGGAATGAATAGCATAATGGAGGCTATCCAACATGGCGTGCCCATGGTGGGGATTCCTTTTTATGGAGGACAGGCTGAAAACATGGTCCGAATAGAGGCCAAAAAGTTTGGGGTCGCTATTCAGCTACAGAACCTCAAGGCAGAGACATTAACCCTTAAGATAAAACAAGTCATAGAAGACAAGAGGTATGCAGCTCCCCTGGATGTAGTCGCTTAGTCCAAATGCAAGTCTACACTAAATGTTTTTTGGTGATCTCTATTTTTTTTTAAATATAGTTAGAATTTTGCAGGATATATAACAATATGCCTGTGATGCTAATCTAATACTTATTGTATTTTCTCTGCTAGGAATGATAATTTGGGTGAAATGCCAAGCATGTGTTTCTTCTTGTGGTTGGTGAAAGTGTACACAGGACCTTTTGAGATCTCTAATTTTGGGAGGAAATTTTGGAATTCCAAGTTAGGCCATATCTTTGTGTGTCCCCAATATCCCCCATCTTCCCCATGAGGGTCTTTCTGTTGTTAATTAGAACACCTTCTCTTCTCCTCACAAGGCCACCTTTCCTGATATTTGCATCTTATCTCCAAGGCCAAATGAAAAATTATAATACTAATTGTCCACCTTTCCCACTCATCATACTCTACTCTTTGTTGACACTTTGAAAGATGGGCAATTCCCCATTATGTGGAGAGTAGAGAGTATGTGCCACTAGAACAGTGGGCCTCTTCTTTTCCACTATGTTCCCAGTGCCTAATACAGAGCCTACCTCCAAAAAGTTACTATAACTCTCACTTAAGTGGGGCAATAAAAGAGGCTTGGTGACCTCCATGGCTAATGACCATTCAACACCATGATCTCACAACCAAAAGATGAAATTCCTTATAAGTTTTCAAGGACATAAACTGAATCAGGTACACATTCTGTCATACAAGTTCACATGCATTTATTACTCTAGCACACCATCAGCCTCACAGTGGTGTGAATGAGTCTTTACAGAATTAGTCATTTTTTAATAATTTAGCTCTTGTAGGGTGAACGATTTATTGTTTTATGTTTCTTGCTTTTGAAGTTTAAGAGGGAACCCATGAGGACATATGGCAAATCTATGATAATAAGCTTTCTTTGAAACCAACCTATGGGTGTAGAGTAGGAAAAGATATGAGTATGAGAGAGAAGGAGGCAGAGACACAGAGGAAGTGGTATGAGGTCTCTGTGCCTTGTGAGACCATATCAGTAACACCCCTTCTTTATCTGCCAACAGGTACAAGTCTGCAGCGGTAGCTGCCAGCATCATCAGGCACTCCCACCCTCTGACCCCTGCTCAGTGCCTGGTGGGCTGGATCAACCACATCCTACAGACTTGGGGAGCTGTGCACCTCAAGCCCTATGCTTTCCAGCAGCCATGGCATGAGCACTACATGCTTGATGTCTTCTTGTTTCTGCTGGGGCTCACTGTGGGCACCATGTGGCTTTTTTAGGAAGTTTCTGGGCATGGTGACAAGGTGGTTGAGGGGATCCAAGAAGGTGAAGAAGACATAACACCAAGTGTGATCTGGAGTGTGGTTTGGGGGAATTTCTGGTTCTTGCCAGCCTTCCACCACCCCAGCAAGACTACCCTTGGTGTTGTCCCCTTCCCTCTACTTGTGGAAGGCCCTGTAGGTTTGTCCTCACTATTGTCTGCCTCTGCTTAGAAACCTTTACACATCATATGGTTTTCTTGGCTTTCCCTTTGGGACTTGGACTTTCCTCTTAGATCCAACCTTCCCCAGCAAGCCCTGACTCCTCCTCACTGCCTTCTCAAAGCCTGATGCTCTGACAATTTCATCTTCCCTCTACAGATCAATTTTCAACATTTCTCCCACTTTTACTTCTGTCACTTGACATTAAAAAGCATGAACTTCATAAATTCTTTCATTTTACTCCTAACTCTTATCTCTTCTGTGGGCTCCCACCAAAGCTGAAGAGCCCTTTTCTGCTTTCTTCTGATCAGACAGGAAGAGCCCCTCCCATTCAATGTTAATTGACTTAACAACACAAGGAAGAAAAATAAAGAATAACTTTTACTTTGTAAGAATCAGAAGAAAAAAATCATATACAAATTAAATACTTGGAGAAAACTTTTTCAATATACATCAAAAATGAATACCAATTTCTCTAATATTTTTAAAAATGCAAGTAAGAAGAGAAACTATGGAATATCCACGCATTTGGAGTAATGTGCAGCTACAAAATAGAACGAGCCATAACAGAAGCTAATTTTGAGTGAAGTTCAGTAGTTTAAATAAATAAGTGGAAAGTGAAAAAATGTACATGGTGCACCCCTTATTTGAAAGTTAAAGGGAGTTTAGGGGGCATAAAGGAATACACACTAGTTCTTCCTAGAATATATATTCAGTCTTCACAGGAAGAATAAACCAGAGAATCCTGTGAAAGAGGATCATAGAACATGATACAGAGTGGAGAGATTAGGAACATATCTGAGTTTGCTTTTTATGTAGCTTTGTGTTTTGGAGATATGATTACAAATATATATATTTAAATAGACAACCATAGCTAAAACCTTTAAAATGAAATAACACACTCTAATAAATGTACTTCATCTTTATTCAAATGATTAAAAACCAAAACATGAAAAAATACTTTAAACAATCCATCATAGAAAATAATGATAGCAATAAATTATACGTAATTGAAAATAAAAATACACTTTATTACTGATAACAGCTTAGTGCACATAGATAAATGTGTCATAAGGCAAAGCTCTTGGTAACCAAATATCTCATAATAAGTCTAGCGGGAATAAAGGAGTTAAGAATTACTGATTTGCCACCATAAGTTCGAACTGTTTCTATGAAGAATAGTAAAATGTGATATCAAGAATAGTAAAAAAGGAAGTCAATGTGCCTAATCTTCAAAAAGAACAGTTGATAAAAACAGTTATATGTTGGGGTGGCGGTCATGGCTCATGCATCTGATCCCAGCTTTGGGAGGTGGAGAAAGGATGTTCCTGGTTTGAAGCAAGCCCAGGAAAAAATTAGCAAGACCCAGTCTCAACAAAATGCTATGTATGTTGGTTCATGTCTAATCCTAACTACGTGGAAGGTAGAGGCAGGAAAATCATGGTTTGATGCCAGCCCCAGGCAAAGGCAGGAGACCCCTTTCAAAAAATAGCGAAAGCAAAAAGCACTCAGGCCATACCTACCAGAATGACTGCCTCTTAAAGGACCCTGTCTTCTTCATACCAATTTCTTCCACTGAGTAAAATGTGACTAAGGACAGGCAGTGTGAAATATAGGGGATTTGCAGTTTTTATGTCCTGTATTATCTCAGACCTCACAAATAGAGATGTAAAAACAGAGATATTCCAAAAGATATATACAATTTCTCTGGCTACATCAACCATATACCCTCACCTTGATCTCCTTCATTCACCCTCTCCCCTCCCACAAGAATCCTCCCCACTATGCCTATTTTATAGTCTTGTCTTTCATTGTTAGTATTTAAGTTGATGTTCAAAGGGGTTTCTCAATGTATCCCCACTGTGAGTGTACTCCACTTTGGTCCATTCAACCCCTTTCATTACTCTGCCTTACCCTTTACCTCCCACCCCTCATTTTTTAATAGCTTTCAGTACATATCCTTATGTTCTCTACCTTCACAGATATTATATTTTACAATATTGTTGATGCTCTATCATTCTCTTTTTCTTTACCTCCTTCCTTAAGTTCCATGGAGTGGTTCCACTATTACAAACAAGTTCTACATGTGAGTTTGTATATGATCATGTTTGGTTTTGTATATATGTTTATCTTTTGGATCTACCTTCCATGTATGAGAGAAAACATGCAGCCTTTTTCTTTCTAAGATCAGCTTAATTCGCGTAACATGTCCTCCAATTGCGTCCATTTACCTTCAAACCACGTTATAATTATTCCTTGTGGCTGAATAAAACTCAGTTGTGGATATATACCACAATCTCTTCATCCATTCATCAGTTGTAGGGCATCTGGGTTGCTTCCATAGTTTGGCTATTGAGAATAGTGCTTGCTGAAAAAAAAAAAAAAAGAAGAAAGAAAGAATGTAGATATTTGCTGTGATGAATATTGGTACATTGGTGTTAGTAAGTCATCTTTTTTTTCTTTGTTGTTTTTCTTTCTAAGATCAGCTTAATTCGCGTAACATGTTCCCTCCAATTTGCGTCCAATTTAACCTTCAAACCACGTTATAAAATTAATTCCTTGTGGTGAATAACACTCAAGTTGTGGATATATAGCCACAATCTCTTCATCCATTCATCAGTTGTAGGGCATCTGGGTTGCTTCCATAGTTTGGCTATTGAGAATAGTGCTTGCTGAAAAAAAAAAAAAAAGAAGAAAGAAAGAATGTAGATATTTGCTGTGATGAATATTGGTACATTGGTGTTAGTAAGTCATCTTTTTTTTCTTTGTTGTTTTGATGGGTGGGGGTATATCGTAGCATTTAATAGGTTCTTACAATGTATCAAATATATCACACATGAATTCATTCTCCTTTATCCCCTCAACTGGGTTCCTACAGTAGTTTCGGCAGGTATCATTTTTGCATTTATATTCATGTGTACACATGTTTTTCACTGTATTCACTCTCCTACCCCTTTTCCCCATCACCTCCCTCAGCCTTCTGGTGCCAGCCTTCCCCCTTGGCAGGACTTGTTCCACCATCCTGTTCTGCAATTTTGCAGAAGAAAAAAGAGAAAAGATAAAACAAAAAATATGACATTTTATCTTGATTGAGCAAAAGGTAGCTGCATAGGGAGTTTCCTTGTGATATTTCTTTGTATATGTGTATTATAACCCAAATAGGCTCATCTCTAATTTTCTTCATTCTTCCTTAGTCCCTTTTTTATGGTAGTTTCAGTTGGTTTAAGATTTCTATATTCATTCTTGTATAGAGAATCAACCCTATTCAAGCTCTTAGTTTCTCTACTCGTCCAGTGAGTGACCGCCCCTTAATCACGATCAATGTCTCATTATATTGTTGTATTTGTATTAGGTCTACATTGCATATGAGAGAGAACATGTGAGTTTTAGTCCTCTAAGTCTGGCTAACTTCACTTATGGTGATGATCTCCAGTTCTATTCATTGACCTGCAAATGACAGAATTTCATTCTTCTTTGTGGCCAAGTAAAATTCCATTGTATATAAATAACACGTTTTCTTAATCCATTCATCAGTAGTGGGGCTTTTGTGAATAGTGTTGCAATAAACATGAGTGTACAGGTGCCTTTGTTATAAGCTGACTCACAATCCTATGGGTATATCCCTAAGAACAGTATTGCTGGATCATATGGCAGGTCTATTTTTAATTTTTAAAGGAGCCTCCATACTGTTTTCTATAGAGGTTGTACTAGCTTACATTTCCACCAGCAGTGTATGAGGGTTCCTCTCCACCCCCATCCTCAACAACACTTGTTGTCATTTATGTTCTTGATGCTAGATATTCTAACAGGAGTAAAGTTGAATCTTAATGTGGTTTCGATTTGCATTTCCTTTATGGCCAGGGGTGGTGAGCATTTTTTCATGTGGGTTTTAGCCATTTAGAGTTCTTTTGAAAAGGCTCTGTTTAGTTCATTTGCCCTTTTCTTCATTGGCCATTGATTTTCTGGGAGATTAGTTTTTTGAGCTCCATATGTATTTTGTTTATCAGTCCCTTGTTTGATGTACCTGGCAAAGATTCTGTGTATGACCTCAATTTAGAGACCATTTCTTTTATTGTGCAGAAACTTTTTGTATTTGTTGATCCTTTCTCTTAGTTACTGAGCCAATTGAGTTCTACTGAGGAAATCATTGTCTATATCTATTGCTCCCAGTGTATTCCCTGCTCTTTCCTGTACTAGCTTCAAGGTTTAGGTCTTACATTAAGATCTTTAATCCACTTTGAGTTGATACTTATATAGGGTGATAAACATGGACCTAGTTTCAGTTTTCTGCTGACAGATAACAGTTTTTCCTGCAACATTTGTTGAAGAGGTTGTGTTTTCTCCATTGTATGTTTTTGGTGACTTTGTCAAAAATTAGTTGGGCATAACTGCATGGATTCATATGCAGATCTTCTATTCTATTCTACTGGTCTTCATATCTGTTTGTGCTAGTACCATGGTTTTTTTTTTATTACTATGGCATTGTAAAATAGTTTAGAGTAGGTTATGGTGATACCTCTAGCATTGCTCTTTTGCTCAGTATGGCCTTTGCTGTTCATGGTCTTTTGTTCTTCCAGATTAACTTTAGGATTGATTTTAAATCTCTGTGATGAATGCCATTGGAATTTTGATGGAAATTGCATTGAACATGTAGATTGTTTTGGGTATATATCCAATTTTATTGTGTTGATACTACCAATTCATAAGCATGGGAGATCTTTCCATCTTCTGTAATCTTTTTCAATTTCTTTCTTTAATGGTTTGTTGTTTTCCTTGTAGAGGTCATTCACGTAATTTGTTAGCTTCTTCCTAAGTACTTTTTTGGGGGGGGGAAGAGCTGTTGTAAATGAAATTGTTTTC